GGGCTGCCCACTGCCGGGCAGGGCAGGGCTGGGCCGGGCAGGGCAGGTAGGGGGGCTGCCCACCGCCGGGCAGGATGGAGCCGGGCAGGGCGGAGCTGGGCTGGGCAGGTGGGGGGCTGCCCACCGTCGGGCAGGGCGGAGCCGGGCAGGGCGGAGCTGGGCTGGGCAGGTGGGGGGCTGCCCATCGTCGGGCAGGACGGAGCCGGGCAGGACGGAGCCGGGCAGGGTGGCCAGTGCAGGGCGATGTGCAGAGCCTGGGTTGGCAGGGTGCTGAGACCTGAACTCACTAGGAGACTTTGAGAGGCGCCTGCAGATGGGCTGGGCAGTTAGGCCTGTCTGTGTGGCGTGGGGCACTTCCCTTCCCCGCCTCCCTGGCCCCAGCCCAGCTCTGCACGTTATGTGGGTGACACAAGGTACCAGCCATGGGTGGGCGCTGACAAGAACAGAGAACTTGGGGTGTTTGGGTGATGCCAGGAGGTGCCCAGAGCTGGTTCCCCAACCAAGCGCTGTCTTTGGCGGGTGCTCGGTAGGTGCCTGCAGGCCAGGTGTGTGGGGCTGCTCCCCACTGCTGGTCCTGCTCCCTGGCGCACCGTGGGGGGCTCACGCAGAGCTGGCATCAACCCTGCTCGGACCCTGCAGCCCTGAGCAAAAGCAGCTCTGAGGCCAGGAACCCCGGCACCTCTCCCCCGGCGAAGGCCCTGTGGGGCCAGAGGGTTCCCCCTGCCCAGCCCCCAGCGGGCCAGGTGCACAGGGGATGCGGGGCTGAGCCGGGGAGCCAGGAGGAGCTGAGTGGGGAAAGCTGGCTCAGGCCAGGCTGGGCAGCTCCAGCTCTGGGGGATCGAACCCTCCACCCACTTATGCGAACCGGGGCAGGTCCCAGTCCAGCCTCCCGCTGGCTGAAGGACCTTTGTTTGCCTGGCCTGGCTGATTACTTCCATACTCCACCTGGAAGAGGCCTGGGGCCAGGGCAGCCCCCCTCTGGCCAGCGGGCTGCCGGGCCGCCTGGATGGAGGGTGCTGGGGATCTGGGAGGAGCCGGGTTGTCTGGGAGCTGGGCGGCAGCTGCGCGGCAGATGTGGGAATGTAACTAGAAAGGGTGTTTGTTACGACAGAGAGAGGAAAACAAGCAGCAGACTGATCCTGTGCCCCCTCCCCCCCGCCCCCGGTCATGCCCCAGCTGGGCAGGCCAGGTGGGCCACAGGTGCCTGCTGCTGGGTCCTGCACCTCTCCTTATGCACCTGCAGGGAGCCCTGGGACTCCACCCATTTCCCCATCATCTCCCCTGCCCCCAGCATGCCCAGCCCCACCCCTGCTAACACGCAGGGGCCAGCAGCCCTGGATGCAGCAAGGCTGGGGGGTCATTGATGCCCCAGCTCTGCATTCTCTCGGCTCCCACCTGCACCTGCCGAGAGCCCCAGGCCCGAGCAGAGCCGGGCCGCTCAGGCTGGAGGGCGCGAGCTGCAAATGCCCCAGCTTTGCACCCTGGCCTCGGCACTCGTCACCCTGCCCAGGGGCGTGGGGCTGCTGAGCGGGTGGACAGGCTGCCCGCCAGCCTGGCCCTCTGTGTGCTGCCTGCATGGCATGGCAGCACAGGGGACGTTGGGGCCTTTGACCCCAGCCACTCCCCTGCGTGGGCTGCGCACTGGCATGTCCCACACAGAGGAGTCTGGAGGGGCAGGTGGCGAGCGCTCTGGGAGGGACATTGGTGCATGGTGGATGCCAGGCAGCAGTGGGCATTGTTCTCCCAAGGCCACTGCACCCCCCCGGCAGGGGCCCGGCTGTGGGGGAGGCAGCTGCAGCTGCCCACGTGAGGCAGGGGTTGGCCTGGTGAGTGAATGTGAAACAAGCCGTGTGGCCGGCTGCACTCCTGGGCCACTGCTCTGCAGATGCTGCCTGGCGCCGGCCCGCAGCCCCGGTGACGTTTCCAGACAGGCTGCGTAAGGCAGCGTGTGATGCTGGCAGCACCATTCCATTCCTGGGCTCTCTCTCCCCCACGAATCCCCGAGCTGGGGGGCGGGGGGCAGGAAGGACGGCCCCAGAGCTGGCCCAGCAGGTCCTCACGCGCGGGGTCACGGGGCTGCCCTGCCTCTGGGGCAGGACGTGAGCAGCTGAGCCCTTTGCAATGGCAACAAGAGCTATTTATAGAGGAAACAAACCTCCCAGGACGGCCGGCCCAGGGCCCAGGCTGGCCGGTGAGCATCAAAGGAGATCGCGTGGGACGGAAAGTATGTTTAATTCAGCAACTCGTCTCCTGGGAAAGGCGCGGTGCCAAGACCCGAGTGTGCTGGGCCCCGGCGTGCCCCTGGCACCTCTGCGGCACGGCCCTCGGGCACCGGGCTCCCCACACTGTGCCAGCGTCTCCGTTGGCCTGTCTGTGCTGACACCTAGTGGCTCCGGGCTGCACCACATTCTTTGGGGCTGCACTGGTTTCCCGCGAACCTTACTTGGGTTTTTGAAATAAGAACTGGCCCCTCTTGGCCCAGCCGTGGGTCAGCCCCCTTGCTCCTGTTTTACGGCGGGGGTCTGCCCCACAGCATCACTCTCCTAGGACCAAATCTTCCAAGAAATTCTTGCTCTCGGGGAGAGGCGGCTTCTCCGTGGCTCTGAGTGGGAGCTGCTGGATTCTGAGCCACCTGCAGCCCGTTGGTCTTCCCTGGGGGCAGTGGGTGCTCCGCCCCTGCACACCAGGCCCTGGGTGTGGAGAGCTGGGAACCCCAAGCCAGGGGGCACTCGACCAGCCTGGGCAGGAGGAGTTCGGTGGGGAGCAGCCTCTCAGATGGACAGACGGATGGACAAACTCCTGCTGAGAGCGGAACCCGCCCTGCAGGAGGTGCAATGGGAGATCCCAAGCCCCACGTCCCTCTGGACAGGAGGTGCCCAATGGTTCCTGGGCAGCTCCAGCCGTTGCGTCCAGTGGCCATTCTCTGGACCAGCTCTGCCCTGGGCGGCTCCCAGCGCCCAAACACCTCGCGGGGCCCGGCTCAGGCAGCCCTTGGGCCGGGGAGGGGCCTTGTGCTGGAGCTCGCAGGCCGTGTAGATGGGAAGCAGGACACGGAGCGAGAGCCCCGCTGGCTCGGTGACACCACGGCAGGTGATAAGGGGCAGTGAGACCTTTGGCTTTTAAAGCACCGCCCGTCAGTAAGGCAAAGCCATGCCAAACTGGCACCAGGGCTGTGGCCAGCTCCAGCTGGAGGCCAGGGATGTGGCGTCCTGGCTGGGCACCCACAGCGCGAATGGTGGCTGCATTCAGCCCCGCTCCGGAGAGCTCGGCAGAGCCTGAAACAGCCCCGCAGGTGGGGAGGGCTGAGTCCCCGGGATCAGGTCAGATCCGGGCGAGAGAGAATGACGCAGACTTCAGCCTCTCCACGGTCTCGTCCGATTCCTTGCGGTGGCTCTGCTGTGCTGGCTGGGAGCCCATGGCGCGGCCTGGCAGCAGGAGGAGGGAATGGGGTCTGGACACTGCACCCCACAGATCACTGTGAGCCGGGGGGCTCAGCAGCCAGCCCCAAACATGCAAAGATCACGAGTCTGGCCCCAGAGCCGGGAGCATTGGACAGATCGTACCGGGGGGCTCCGGGTCTTCACCTGTCTCTGAGCGTCTGCGTCGCCCCCGCCCCACAACTTCAAACTTTGCTTGACAACCAGGAGGAGGAGAAACTTCTTGTTCTTTCTTCAGCGAGAGACACCCCCACCCCCACCCCCTGACTCCAGCAGCGGGGGCAGCCAGGGAGACCCCAAATATCACTAGCCTGACAAGGAGACACAGGGATTCTCTCCTTCCACAGGGAACCAGGGGGCTGCTGCGAGCCTGTCTCTGCGGACTCGGGGGCCTTTCTGCCAAGCCAGGGGCACCTCTGGCTGGACAGTAGCTTCGCCAGCTGGGGCATTGCAGGGGCAGTAGCTGTGGGCATGCAGTGACCTCCTTTGCCAGGGCTCTGGGCACAGCCCCAGCTGCTCACACTCACTGATCTCCCTGCCAAGCCAGGGCTGTT